GGGGTGGGCACGCACCGCCCCGTGCACCTGATGCTACCCCTCCCAGGAGCTGGCGCCGCCCCAGGGCGCAGAGGGCTGCGGCCAAGCAGCAGACGTGGGCAGGAGCTGCCCGGCCCTCCTGGTGCTCAGGGCAGCGCCCAGCGCTCACCTTGAGGCGGTACTCCCGCTCGGGCATGGCCTGCACTGCTCTGATCGCCCTCTCCATGAGCTCCACGAGGTCCTCGTTGAGCAACTCGCGGGAGACCTCTCTGCTGTTGGCTTTGGCGAGGACGGAGTAGACGCTGTTCTCGGCACGGGCACGGCCCCGGGCCTGCAGCGGAAGGGCCAAACGCTGTGTTCAGCAGAGGAGGGACACGGCCAACCCCCTCTGCCTCCCCATGCCACCCCACGAGGATGGATCCACCCTCCGCACCCTGCTGTGCTTCACCAAGGAGATGCTCTGCCAGGGGCTGGGCTCATCTCCAGGGAGCTGCCAGCGGGCATGGGATGTGAGTGCCCCCATGTCCCACCCCCTTGGCTTTGGGGTGTCCTGGCAGGCTGTCCCCACCATGGGGCTGGGCCGAGGAGCCGGAGGGAGCCCGGGCAGCTACCTGCATCATGGCGATCTCGTTGGTCATCAGCCCATAGCGGACCACAATGTTGCACTCGGGGATATCCAGGCCCTCCTCGGCCACGCTGGTGGAGAAGAGCAGGTTGAGGGCTCCCTCGCGGAACCGCTTGATCACGTCCTGCTGCTCATTCTGGGGGTAGAGGCGGCTGATGCTTCAGCAGCTGCGTAGGGCTCCGAGCCCCGGGCAGCACCCGCAGCACCCACAATGTGTGCGGAGAGGGGTAGGTCCAGCTCCTTCCCACCCTCCGCTCACCTGCGTCATGTGCCTGGTTTGGTTGCTGTAGCCGGCGCCAGTGAGGACAGCAGCCCTGATGTGCTGCCGGCAGAGCGCGGCCGTGTCCTGCAGCCAGCTGAGCAGGCTGTGGGCGCTCTGCCGCGTCTTGGTGAAGATGATGCCACGAGAAGTGCCCAGGGGCTGGAAGTGTTCCCGCAGGATCTCCTCCAGCTTGACCAGCCTGGGGTTCTCGTAGCGCTGGTCCCTGGCAAGCACCTGCAGGCTTGTCCTGTTCTCTGTGCAGGCAAGAGGGGTGTCAGGGCCCCCCCCGCCAAATGCAGCCAGCACCAACTCCCCTCCAGGCCCCTCCATTACCCTCAAACACGGTGGTGAGGAACTGTTCGGTGGGGTCCCTCACGTCCCTCTCGGTGGTGTAGAACTGCTGGAGGCACTGGAAGGCGTCGATCATCCGCACCGTGTCGTTGATCAGCAAAGCATCATTGTACTTGCGTAGGTGCAGCGCGCACACCCGCGTCATGCGACGAAATGTCTCTGCCGCTGGTGAGGGACAGGGCATGCCGCGGTCACAGCCTGGCCCCGCGCCTGTCGGCTCTGCCCCGCCGCACACACACTGCCACCTCCTCACCTCTGTTCTCCAGCTCCACGATGCGCTGTTCGTAGAACTGCGTGCCGAAGTCCTGCGGCAGGCCAGGCATCTCCATGTACTGCTGGATCTGCTCCATCACCTTCTTCAGCTGCTCGCCAAAGGGGTCCTGGAGCAGAGAGGGGCTCAGGACGCGAGGAATAGGGGACATTGCTCCGGACAGCCTCGGAGGTGCGGCCTGGAGCGCCTGGCCCAAGGTTAGGGGCTGTTTGCACAGCAGGACCCCGATGGTTGTGGGATCTCCCTGCTCCAAAGCTCTGGGTCAAGTGATTCCCCACAATGGCCAGAGCTCAGCAGATGGAGGGTCACAGCCCCCAGCTCAGCAGGGCTTGGGGGGTCTCGTCTTTCACCCAGCGAGCAGCCCTGTGGCTCCTGCGCTCTCTCCTGGCACAGGTCGTACTGCTTCCTGGGCTGGGGGACGTGGCTCTGCAGGTGCTGCAGCTCCTCCTGCACCGATGTGACTTCCTCGGTGTCCAGGTTGGCACAGATCTGAAAGGGCGAGACCCCTTCCAGCCCTGAGCCTGGCAGCCCGGGGCGATGCGGCGCATGATGCTCGCTGGCACCCCGGCATGTTTGGGGATGTCTCTCCCGGGCCGCCCCGCTGCCCAGCACCTGCCCAGCAGGTTACCAACGCCCACCCCAAGGGACACCCCACTACACCCCAGGGGAAGCTGTACTGGGGCCCTGCAACCTGTCTTA